CTAGATCCATCTTGAAGTACAATATTGTCAGTGACAGGATAATATGTATACGCGTACAAGGAAGCCCAGTGAATACCACTATCATTCTAATATATGCACCAACAACCAGAGCCAACCCTCGTACGTACACCCCCCAAATCAGTGGCCAAGAATACGTTCATGCTACTAAACCAATCACTGGCAAAGGAAAAAAGCTGCTGTGATTGCCTTAAACAGGTCATCTTGAGTGAGGAGTGGACACTCTCACTAAGCAGGGTTTCTGTCTAGGAAAAAGTGGGGAGGGGGAGATAGCTGTGTCCTGCATACTCTGCTAGGCCCTTTGTGTGCCAGCCAGTTAATTCACCTCCAGACAAGCACTGACAGCGTTCTTTTCAGATCAAAGGCCCTCTCTTCTTGGAAGTTCTCTGAGCACTTGTTTTCAATGAGTTCAAAGTGAAATTAAACCTTCTTTTTCATTTTTTATGGTCTTAGAGACTTGAGAACTCTACTGACTTTGTTAACCTTGATGGACTTTATTTCTTTGAAATGGAGAAGGGGCAGGTATTTCAGATCATGGGGAGTTTTCCATAATCTAAAAGTTGATTTTTAATACAGGTATCTTGACTTAAAATTCAATGCAGATTTCTTTTTCATTTCTTCTGTAAAAATACTTGAGGGTCCTTTTATTTGGCTCTGTAATCATATTAAGAATTGTTGAATAATAATAAAGAATGGTTGAATACTTGGTCAATACACTGATGGCCTGTTAACTTTGTGTGGGTATGTTTAGCTTTGAGTATGTTTTCTTATAGTTCCTCAGGGGACTTACTTGGAATTTTGTTTTTAATTGTGCAGCACCCACAGATCCAGAAAAAATCTCAGTATATCAAATACCTTTGTTGTGATGATATGAGAACCCTGCATCAGTGGGTCAATGGTATCCGCATCGCAAAGGTAGGTTTTCTTTTGGTTTGATGATGGACTAATTCAGATTTTCATGATACAGTTTTTATTATCATAAGATTAGCTGCTTTCTTTAATATATCTGAAATTCATTTATGTCCAGGATTATTCCGATTGTTTTCAGGCCGTGATTCCACTATAGTTTTCTCAAAGCTTATATTATATGGTTTAAATGTCCTTTTCCCTAGGTGATTTGATCTAGTTTTAACAGTATCCATAGAACAAGAGTACTGGTAAAAGCTTGTGTAGCATGAAAAATATTTATTTTGGTTTTAAAGAATGTATAATATAGTTCCTATATAGAAAAGTTTAGTGTAAGCAAATTTTTATTACTATATTACTTTTAATAAAAGCAGTGAATATTTACCAGCCAGAGTTAGAGCATAATCCTGAACAGTGCTGACTTGCTGGCCCTGAATTAAGAATTTGGATTGGGGGTGGGGAATAAGTAGTTTATCATTTACTGGTATTAGAAGAATTTTTTAGGTGTCATAAGTATTGATTTTCATATAAACAGAAATACGCCATTTTCTCAGGTCATCTTTCTGTGTATACCATACCCCAGTAAAGTTCAGATGTCATCATTTACTTTCTGTTTAGTATGGGAAGCAGCTCTATCTGAACTACCAAGAAGCAGTGAAGAGGACAGAGTCAACTTATGATTGGACTTCCTTATCCAGCTCTAGCATTAAGTCAGGATCCAGTTCTTCCAGCATCCCAGGTAGTCTGGATTTCTCAAAGCACTGTGTTCTTCCCAATCTATAGGCTCCTGAGAGGCTTGACTGTAGATTTATTATTGGAAACAAAAATAGGTTATTACTGGAAATGGAAAACCATTGTATAAACTCTCACACCCAGGTTATTCATGAAAACTCTTATCTACGGTTGATGAAGAGGCATAATTTGGGGCAAAAAATTACCTGGAGAGAATCTCTGAACTGACAGTTCAGTTCTAGTTAGTCCAGTATCCCTGTAAAAGAAGTTGCTGTTTATCAAAGTTTATAAAAATTTTCATAGGAAATGAGTTGTACTCAAAATGGTATTAACTTTATCTAAAGGAATTTAGTTTAGAATTTCTCTTTGGGTGTTTTGGTTCTGTTTTAACTAACCGGACTTGACTGCATTAATACTGCACCCTGATAGTATCCTTCCCTCAACAGAACGATTGGATGGGATTTGCTTTAAAATTTGAGTGCCCACAGATACTGAGTGGGTGCTTCGACCTCGTTACAACTTGGAGTCTCGTGAAATAATCTTACCAGGCCTCTCATCCTGGGTGTCAGTTGAAGATACACTGTATTCTTACAGCCATGCCCACAGGCCTTGAAGACCTCTCTGTGCCTTTCCCTCTGGTGCCAGTACTAAGTCCCTAGGAAGCCTGCTTACGCTTCAAGTTTTAAGTATTATTTGTTGCTGAGAAAAAGGAAGTAGTTAGTCATCATGCTGGTCAGCAGTATGGAGCTGGAATCAAGGTTGGAAGTCGTCTGCAGCAGCCAGATTATACAGAGGTTTGTTTGCTGGTTCTGGTGAGGATTAGGGTGGAATGTTTGCTTACCAATAAATTTATTTGCTCCAGCCTCCTATTTAAAAAAACACATTAGGTCAGCAGTATGGGGCTGGAATCCAGGTTGGAAGTCATCTGCAGAAACTCTATGAATGCGGAGAAATGATGAAAGCTTTAAAAGTGTTCAGGTCTTTCATTCATAGGGTCACTAAGAGTCATCTATGACTTGACAGCACTTAACAACAGTAACAGTCAAACATGAAAAATAAGAATTTTTAAATTAGAACTCTGGGATGGTATGGCCTGGAACAGAGGCATTAAGGAACTGATGTCAATGTAATGAAATTAATTTTACTAGGAAAAAATTCACTCTTGATAGTTCATTATGTGTCTCTTGTACTGAGATCCGTTTTTATTTTACAAGATAGATTTTTTGGATATCAGTAATGCAAGAATACCAATAATATCCTGTGAATATTTTACTAATCTAGTGGACTACTTAAAAAGAATCGATGCTTTCCTGTTAATCCTAAAATAAGGGAAATCTAGTACTGTTTATAGGAAATGAGTGGAATAGAATGACATATCACTACATAGCATTCAACCTGGTGTAAAACATACATCCACTTTATTTAAAATATCCATATTTATGCTGTCAGAATACAGATTGACCTGTTTTTTAAAAACTCTTTTCCACAGAGTCACAGTCAAACCACTCTAATCAGTCTGACAGTGGGGTTTCTGACACCCAGCCAGCCGGGCACGGCCGTTCCCAGAGCACCGTGAGCTCCATCTTCTCTGAAGCATGGAAGCGGGGCACTCAGTTAGAAGAGTCCAGTAAGGTAACACCTTGTTCCCACTTACGTGCAGGCATCCTAATGTCCCACTATTTGGCGGGGTGTGCTTTAAAAATTACTTTTATTAGGAATTCTTCCTTGCCCTATTCCAGTCTTCTCTTTGGAATCTTCAGTCTTCCTGACTATAATGGGCTTGGAAATTTCAGAGAGGCCTTGCCGGTTTGACTTCCTCAGAAATACATGGAAATTGGTTCTGATGATTTTTAAATCTCACAAAGAAAAACTAGCAGTTTAATTAATTCCTTGACCAGTGGCTTAAAATTCTCGTAATTCCTTCACACTCTTTAATCCATTTGGATGGAGCAGCACCATTGACTCCATTTGCCCACAGTATTTCCTATAGAAGTTGTTACGGTTGATTCTTTATTAGTAGTTTAAATTCTTCAGGTTCATTTTTATCTTTTATGAACCTTGTTACTTTCTGTGTATTGATTAATTTTCTCTAATAGTAGATAATATGGAAGGCTAAACTCAGTCCCCTTAAAAGTTTGGGTTACTAATCCTTGTGTAATAGATGGTATGAAAAATTATCCTGAAAGACAAATTATCGTAACTATGAAATTATTTTAAAATATAGAGCTCATTAGCTTAAGCAAATTGCCTCTGTGGTTCTCTAGGCCAGGGTGCATCCTACTTTGTGTTCTTGCTGTTCAGAATACAGAAATGCATCTATGACCACCATGGGCATACGAGGACAGCCTATTTTGTATTTGCACAGCAAATATAATTATTACACAGTAATCAATTGAGGGTTTATTGTTTTTCTCTTGATCTGAATCACACAAGTACATTCACTAAGGAGAATTACATGGCCATTTTCCTTCGGTTTATTCTTTAGTTGGCACATGTGATTGGTTAACTGGCCCGGAGAAGTTAGAATGTTGATCAGCCGAGTGTGATAATGGGGCATTTTCTCTAAGAAATGAGTTATTGAAGCAATGGCCTAAATTCTCAACATGCTGGCAGTTTTTCTTCCTTAATAGAGCTTCAGCCTTTGAAGCAATAATCACCTCTCTATTTCCCCACTTAGTCATAGTGGATGAGCTGTCCCACTGGGTGTTAATGCTCTAAATATGCACCCAAGAAGCCAGGTTCTGTGATTCAGATGTTTAAAGAAAAATCCTGTCTGTGCCTTACCACATACTTCCTCGGGGTTCTGTGTGCATCTCTCCTTTTGGAATCAGCTGCCGAGCACGGCAGAGAAGAAACGCTCAGAGCTGTGGGTTAGGGAGTGCAGTGGGCCTCCCTCCTGCAGGGACAGTGTGTGTGCTAGTCCTTGATCTCTGTGTTTCTTACCCTGTTACCTCAGTCTCAGGTGCCACATATGAAGGCCAGCACAGCTAAGGTCTCCGCCCCTGAAGCAGCCGAGACAGGGCCCAGTTAAGGTCAGGGCTTTCTCTGGAAGCTCATTAACCTGGGTGACTCCAATAACCAGTCTTGCAGACTAATGCTTTCATTCTGACGTGTGATGTTTAGAAAATCCAGGAGTGTCCTGATGGACATTAGAATTCAGCCTGTTACTGAGCCTTCTAGAATCTACTAACCTGAGCTGCTTAAGGCTAATGAGATGTCATTTCATAATATAAATGGCTTACCCCGGATTTGCACAAAAAGCCTAAAAGGCATTCCCGAAGCTTTTAAATAGAAAACCAGGGGTCCCTCCCTAAGCCCCATTTCTGCATGATTAGCTCCATGAAGGGCCAGATGTAGTCATGTCAGCAATACCAAGAGGTCCCCAGTCACCATGCTGACAAACTGTAGATTGCATTTGTTGATTTTTTTCCTGTATTCAAACCTTCCAGAGTTTCCTCTTACTTCCTTCTGGCCTTTTTCTGTATGCATTTTTGTGGTCTTTCACTATGATGTTTATGAAGCATTTCTTCATGTATTTTCCAGTAAAACAAATGTACAGAATGCCCCCCATTACCTGCATTGCTGGACTTCTGTGCATGTTGGATGCAAGTGTCTCACACGATCATGCGTGTGTGTGTGTGTGTGTGTGTGTGTGTGTGTGTGTGTGTGTGTGAGAGAGAGAGAGAGAGAGAAGCTGATTGCCGTGTGACTGCACGCCCCCCTCTCCCGTGTCAGCTCGCTCGTCGTGTCAGCCTGCCAGCAGCACTCGGCCCAGACCCCCATCTGCTTGATGTGCATGTCATGAGGGACGCGCAGGCCCGCCGCCAGAGGCCAGGTGGTGCCCAGGGACGAGTCCACCTGGCAGTGAGGACCTGGCAGTGAGGACAGGGTGTGTGCAGGGGACCGAGCCAGAGGCCAGGCACCATCGCTGGTCACACACCCTGTGGCACAGCAACGTGGCCTGGATCGCTAGGCCTGAGCAGAGCAGGGACGCATGGCCAGTGCCCTCACTCCTCCCGACACTGTCCGCCTTTATGACCAGCACCTGCAGCATCCTTCCCCTGCACGATTCTTGCTTTTGGATGTTACACGGACTCAAAGCTTCCTCCTGTAACTTGTGTTTTTTCTCTTTCCCTCTTTTTCATATTCCTTTTTAGGCCAGAATGGAGTCTGTGGGCCGACCCTACACTTCACTTATGCCGCCTTTATCCCCACAACCTAAGATGATCAGCCCCTACACAGCCTCCCAGCCGTCCCCACCCCTGCCTCCGCCGCCCCC